GATAAAATATTGTAAAGGTCATGTTATTTGTAATACCTCAAGAGGTATAAAAAGGCTTGGTTTTAGACCAAGTGAGAGGAGGGATAATGTTAATAACATTAATAATAATTGAATAAATCCCCCCCCCCCCCCGTTGTTAATAATTAAATAAACACATTTTACCTTATTACGAATTTTTGCATAGTTAATAGGAAAAGCCATTGTGAATTGTTCCATGGTCCTCTCTGATGATTAGTGGCTGGCCACTAATCATTATTTAGAACCCCCCATTTGATTGTTCTATGCTGCTTGTAGGGACGCCTCAAGTGGTATAGTTGTAAATATTTCTTGTAAATATTTTTTTTATTTATCATTTTTAGGCCAGCAGTACTTCTATTAGTACTGTAGAGAGAATTGCACAATAGAGTTTTGAGTAGGCTCTGAGCTGTGTGCGGATACAGGGAGATTTAAAAGATTTAGCATTTAGAGTAGTTGGTGATGGTTTGGATGCTGGAACAACCACTGTAAAACAAATCATGACTGCTGATCCAATGTGTGTAAAAAGTGATACTTCTGCCACTGATGCTCTTAATACAATGGTTAAAAAAGGTTTTAGGCATCTTGTAAGTATAAATAATAGTAATAATTGTTATTAATATTTTTTAACTTCTTCTAAACTAATTTTCAAATCATATTTTTCCATTTATCATCGCCTGTGTGTATTGAAGATGGAGATCTTGTGGGTCTCTTGGATATTACTAAATGTTTATACGAGGCATTAGATAAGATGGAACGTGCATATGGCTCATCTAAAAAATTATATGACGCTCTTGAAGGTGTTGAAAAAGAATGGACAGGTCAAACAAACTCCATAATGCAATATATGTCCGTTCTACGTGAAAAGATGGAGTGTCCTGATTTGACAAGTGTATTGGACGGTTCACTACCTGCTGAAGTTGGTATGAAAACATCTGTAAGAGATGCTGCTAAAATGATGAGACAATTTCGTACAACTGCTGTTTTGGTAATGGAACACAATATGATTGCTGGGATTTTTACTAGTAAAGATATAGTATTAAGGGTAATTGCTGCAGATTTGGATCCTTCTACTTGTAGTGTTATTAGAGTAATGACCCCACATCCTGATACTGCTACTCCTAATACCAGTATTTTAGAAGCATTAAAAAAAATGTATGGTGGGTATCAATCAATTTATTTATTATTATAATAATATAATTTCTTATATAAAGCGAGTTCGTTTATTAAAATTGACGTACTTAATGTAAAGTATTATATATAAATTTTAAAACACAATTATTTTATTCATGTAAATATATTAGACGGTCATTACCTTAATTTACCAGTGGTAGAAGGTACAACTATCATAGGAATGGTGGATGTATTGAAATTAACATATGCAACCATGGAACAGGTACTTACATGCATAATTATTAATCAAAAATTTTTTCCAGTAATAATAATAATAATATTTTCATTAGATGTGTTCAATGAAAAGTCAAGATAATCAAGATAATAGTGGATCAGATAATAATTCAGGTCCTATGTGGAACAAATTTTGGAATTCCTTAGATGGAGAAAATGTTGATGACGATGTTGATGACAATGAATCTATATTATCAGATACAATAGCTCCTTCGCAAAGTGCATCAAATATACCACCTTCTTCGCCAAATATGCGTATTAGTAGTATGCGTAATTCAGGTAATATTTCTCCTGTGCCCGAGATTCATCCCAGCGAATCTGCCTCAGCAGTTGATGATAAATCGGGTATTTCATTTCCTCGTGGTCATGAAGAAAACTCTTTCACCTTTAAATTTAAAGCTCCAAATGGCAAAGCACATCGTTTCACTGTTGATTATACAAGTGTTGATAATATTCGTTCAACTGTATTATCAAAACTTCCATCAACCATAGAAGATTTCACTATCACATATATTGATGATGATGGGGATAATGTAACTATGACAACAGATGATGATGTGCTTGACGCCGTTAGAATTGCTCAACGTCAAAATGCATCAAAGGTTATTTTAAATATTGAAATCAAAGAAAATAAAAATTCATCGTTATCAGCCGCATCTTCACCAAAATCCAGAGCTATAACTAATGACAATGATTTCGAAGAAGAGGAGGATGAATGGAATGATGTTAATAACTTTAATATTAATAGTAAAAGAAAAAGAATGCCACGATTATCTGTAAATAAGGATAATAATAAAGATAGTGGTAATATTAATCTTTCAATTCCAAAGGAACTATTATTACCCGGTGCAGTTTTAACTCTTGCTCTTGTAATTGTAAGTGTTTTTGCCATCTCAAGGAGATAAATAATAATAGTAGTAGTAAAAATACATAAATCTGTATAGTAAATAAGTTGTAATTTTGCTAATTAGATTTATTTTATTCTTAGAAATAGATTATTTGGACATTTATTAATTTTTTAAAAATAATAATAGTAGCAGTAATAATTATATTAATGTACTTTAAAAGTTCTTCTCTTATAGCTTTAAAAAAGTTCTTTTAATTTTACATAATGAATATATAATACTAAAATTATAATTTATCACAGTGACATTTTAAAAATTATTTCACTTAAAAGCGCGAGATTATTTCAAATTTCAACCAATAAAATCTTGTTGATTCAATTTTTATTGATTGACAAAATATTTTTTTTTTATGGGTAGAATAATTTTATATAGGTATGGCTTCACAAGGAAGACAAACAATAAATAGACTTAGTAGTATGCTGCCCAAAGGTGGTGGTAAAGGACTATTTACAGGAACAGGTGCAGTTTTAGCTTTAGGAACTCTTGGGTTTGGTATAAATGCTAGTTTGTTTAATGGTACGAGAGAATACACTCATTCTTCACTTCATTGATTAAACTTGAATTATTATAAATTAGAATTAATTTTATTATTATTCATTTATTATTTGATTGATATTTATTTAGTTGATGGTGGTCATAGAGCAATAAAATATACTAGGATTTCTGGTGTTCAAAGAAAAATTTATAATGAAGGCACACATATTATGATACCATGGTTCGAAACACCAATTATTTATGATGTTAGAGCTAAACCAAGAAGTATTGCTTCTTTAACCGGAACAAAAGGTGTGAATCATGAAAAACATTTTTAATGAGGGGAAATTAAATAAATAATTTTTTTCTTTTTAATGAGAGAAAGTTGAGTAAATAATTTTTTCCTTTTTAAAAGATCTCCAAATGGTAAATATCACATGTCGTGTTCTATCAAAACCAAAAGTTGAAGAACTATCAACAATATATAGAACCCTTGGAGTTGATTATGATGAACGTGTTTTACCTTCTATTGTAAATGAAGTTCTCAAATCAGTTGTTGCTCAATTCAATGTCTCACAATTAATTACTCAGCGTGAAAAAGTTGGTGTTTTACATATAATAATAATATTTTTATTTGAAAATTCAATTCAATTTATCTTCTTTTTTTTTTCCCTAAATCTTTTTTTTAGGTATCAAGATTGGTGAGAGAAAATTTAATACGTCGTGCAGAAAAATTTAATATCATTTTGGATGATGTGTCCATCACTCATGTTGCGTTCTCGCCGGAATTTACTCAATCAGTCGAGGCCAAACAAATTGCTCAACAGGAAGCACAACGTGCATTTTTTATAGTGGAACGAGCAAAACAAGAAAAACAATCAATCATTATTAAGGCTGAAGGTGAAGCTAAATCTGCTGAATTGATTGGTGAGGCTATCAAGAACAAACCTGGATTTATTGAATTAAGAAAAATTGAGACAGCTAGGGACATTGCTTCTACTTTATCACGTTCTCAAAATCGTGTACTATTGGATTCTGATACTTTATTATTAAATGTTTCTGATCCTGCAAGGTGAGTAAAATTTGATCAAAAATTTTTTTAATATTAAAAATGCAAAAATTCTAATATATGTGTGTGTGTTCTGATTTCAGAAAAATTAATAAGGAACCGAAAAAATAATCAATTAATTTTAACTTATATGTAAATCTATCTATAACTTTACGAGATTGTATTTTCTTTAATATCATATAATAAACAGAAGCTTAAAGGTACCTACAAAAATGCAAAATTTATTTAAAAAAATGAAGTTAAAACTCGCCAATTTAGAAATTTTCCAAAATCATCTCTTTTCCTTCTTTGTTCTCTTAAATAATTACAAATAATTTTTTTTAAATAACGAGATACTCCCTTTAGATGCATAATTATAAAATTACAAAATCCACCTCTAGTACATTCCGCATTTTCATTTTGGCGAAAATCTATTGCTAGCGATAATTCTTTTTTTTTTTCATTTTAAAATCATGTGCTAGATAATTGATCAAATAATAATAACAATGACAATGAATATCAGAATAAAATCTTTGATTCAAATTATCAGCAGTCTTTTGCACATCTTCATATTAAATGATCACATACATGAATTTCTTCAACTTCACCATATTTACAAAGCTCAATAAAAAGTCTTCATAAAAATCACGCCTGAACTTGCTCATCAGTCATATCACAATTAGTGTCATGTGCAGAAAGGGTTTGATAAATATTTGAACAAAGGATTGTTGGTTTAACATGTTTTCTACTGCATCGATCACCGTGCTACAAGCTCCAATTTTGAAATAAAAAGAACAATAAAAAGTTATCACCGAAACTAAAGGCATATGCGCTGAAATTTTTTGTGGAAATGTGAATGAGTGAATATCTTACCCATATATAAAAGAAATGCTTTTTTTTTTCCAAAATTTCAGCACATATGGTTAGTAACGTGCCAACAATAAAATAAGTTTTCCACCGTTAAATAATCAAATTAATTTAAATAACTAATTGATTCAAACATACTTGTCTTTTTCAGTGCTGTATATTGATGCTAAATATTCTGCCATTTTGGTTGGATATATTTGCTAAAAAAACCATAAAAAAAAGAGTAAAGTTATAAAGGTAAAAAAGTTATTTTATACTGATTGGATAACGGAATTACATTAACTTCCTAATTTGATAACAATTAATTTTTGATAAGTATATTTAGGTGGAATTGACGCGTAATAGTAATGATAAGCTTTTTTTTTTTAGGGAAAAATGGAAAATCAAATTGTCCAAGAACAAAATGATCTATCAATTAAAGAGAGCACAGCACAACCCAATCCCCCAGTAGAATTAGACAAAACTGACGAGAAAGAAAATCCAAATAATACTGAATTGCCTGAGATGTCAAACCAAACTGCTGATGCTAACGTCGACAACCAAACACTTAATTTGGGCATTGCACAAAAAAAGAAAAAGAAGAAGAAAAAAAAGAAAAAACCAATTGATAGTTTAACGGAGGAACTTTTATTTGTTGATCCTGGTGAAAAAGAAGTTGATGATAACGAACGTTATAATCTGTAAGCTTCCAAATATTATATTTATATATTTATATACATATTATTAATATTTGTAAAGTGTGTGTGCCTTTTTTCTCCCATTAATTCTCAATGAATTAATTATTTTTTAATATATAGTTCACGATCAGTAACACTTCGAATTGAAACTGCAATACAAAGATTCAAAGATACTCGTAAATTTTCTTCAACTCGTAACCAAGTATTTAGTTCTTATCTTCGTTTTGGAGGAGTCAAGACAGGTCAAAATTCATTTTTAGGTCAACAGGATATCGAAGATCCAGAAGCCACCAGTGAAGACATTACTATGAGAAAATCAACAGACTTTATTCAAGATGATGGCGATGAAGATGAGGATGAAATAATAGTAGATTTTACATACGTAGTTAAGGCTTATTTATCTAGTTATTTTATCGATAAATCAGGCTATGTGCAATTAGAACAATTTCGTGAAGCACCTTTAGTTGTGTCATCATTTTTAAATTATTTAGTTAGACATAATGTGTGCCCAGAATACTCTGAGGATATATCAAGGGCAATGGAATTTACTGAACGTGCTAAAATAGAGTTGCCAAATTGTAAAAGTCTAGCATTGACCGCTTTTCACAAATTTAATAAGGCATGTTCTATATTGTATGGTGGTGAATTATATGGTATTTTCGATGATCCTTGGGATTTAGAAAATGTTATAAAGTATATGAAAATCTCTTTAAGTGAAGCCAAAGAAATTATTAATAAAGCATTTGGAGAAGATGCTTTAAAAGATGGAAATCTTTACCGCGTTGAATCAGCCACAAGAAAAGCACTTAAAGTGGAAATAATTGATATAGAAAAACTACCAGAAAAGAAATCAAGCGATCAATCTTTAAAAGATGATAAAGATTATAAAAAAGTAGACGAAAAAGTCGATAAGAAAGATGATGATATGAAAAATGATGAGAAGAATGATGAGAAGAATGATGAGAAAAATGAAGATAAAGTTGATAAGAATGTTGAAAAGACAGATGATGATATGAAAATTGAAGAGAATGATGAAAAGAAAGTTGATGAGAAAGTTGAAAAGAAAGTTGATGAGAAAGTTGATGATGTGAAAATCGAAGAGAATGATGATATGAAAGTTGATGAGAAAAATAAGAAGAAAATTGACAAGAAAGTTGATATGGAAGTTGATGAGAAAGTTAAAAAGGAAGTTGACGAGAAAGTCAACGATGCGAAAGTTGATGAAAAAGTCGATGACGTGAAAATTGAAGAGAATGGTGATAAGAAGGTTGATATGAAAGTTGATATGAAAGATGATAATAAAGATAAGAAAGATGATAATGCAATCAATGAAGATGACAAAGATAATAAAGGTGATAATCCAATTAATAAAAATAAGAAAGATGACGAGAAAGATCATAAGAACGATTCATCATCATCTGCGTCTAATGATGTCAACAATACTAAAACAGCACCAAAAACCAATGATTCTTTAGATGATGATAAAGATAACAAAACCGATGATGGAATAAAACTTTACAGAATGACAGTTAGAACATGCGAAGAACCAATCGTAGAAACATTTGATGTTCATATTGATTTTGAGACTTTGCAATATGCAATGGTTGGAATGACTGTAATAGCTGATTTTCATCAATTGTCAAATGGGTGGTGGTATTATGATAATGTAACAAATGTTTATCCATCTTATTATGAAGTTTGTGATGAATCTGAAGATGAAGAAGAATAATCTTAGAATAGCAAATGTCTTTTCTTTCTCACTAATTAATATATTGTGAATAGTTCAATTATTTCTCACGTATTCATACATTATATATATTCATTCATATATTCATAAAAAAAATTTTTTCTGTTTATTTCTCAGTAAAATTTTCCAAAAATCAAACGTTGTATATTTTTATATAATTTGTTTTATTGTTGTTCTTTTCATAATTGATATCTATTGATTATGATTGTGCAATCATATAATACTATTATTATTATTTAAAAAATATATTTTCAAACCCATCAAATTTTGTTTAATAAGTGTCAACTGGAAAATCAGGAATATTGAAAGCAAAATGTCTGACAACAGAAGCAACTTTTAAACCAACTCCTGGAAAATTCATTAATAAGTTTACGTCGCTGGGAACAACACCTTTATATTTACTTATTAAAGTTTTGCTTGTTTCGATAATTCTATTTGTTTTAATTTTACTTAATCCTATTGGATAAATCATATTTGTTATTTCTTCTTTTTTTAATTTTAACATAGATTCAACATTAGGAGCTAAATTTAATAATTTTCCAACACAAGGAATGGATATTTTGTCTTTTGCCCTAATAGATAAAATAGATCTTATCAAGCAGAAATATGGATCTTCTGTTGTAGGTTCTTTGTCTGACATTAAACAAATTAATTCCCATTGTTTTTGATAAATAGATGAATGCTTTAGCATTAAGTTTTATTTATGAATTTTATACATGGAGTTTCGAATCAACATATTCTTCTAATTTTTATAGATATCTAGACAAAATAGAAAGTAAAAAAGAAAATATGGGAAAATATTATGTATTATCAAAACATTTTCGTACCTTAAGAGGGGCAATTCCTTTCATTATTATTCCATTTCTAAATCACCTTAATGAAATTATATTTGGATTAACATTTAGTTTGATAATTAACATATATAATAAAGTGAAAATTTTTTTTTTGATGTTCTATGTTTTTTGTTGTTATATTTTTTACCTGTTACAAATCTTTTCAACGTTATACAACATCAGCTCCTCAAAAATCAAATCTTGGATAAAGCTAGATCCCTAGCTGAAGTCGTGGAATGAGCCTCTTGGCCTTAGGTGAAGTTGTGTATGAAGTAGCCTTCAAATTAATAGGTTTTTTATGGTATCTGAAATAACAGAATGACAGCGCTAGTCGTTAATAGACATGATTAGATCGAAAAGTGATACATTCTCTATAATGTTACCTTTCGCATTGTGATCCATATTTGAGAAGGAATCAAAGAAAATGAAATATGTTTAATTAGTTATAGTAAAACAGTTTTTTTTGACAACAAATTTTTTGTGTATCAATTTTCGTCATACAGAAGATTGTCGGATCGAATTTATCTTTTAATTAAATCTTTTAATTTTGTCATTTTATTAAAGTTATTTAATTTAATATATTAAAAAAAAAAGATATTTAAAAATGTTGGAAATCGAAATCCTAACAATCAAGAAAATAAATAAAACTGAAAAATATCTATAGAATAAAAAACCAATCAATCCAACCAACTAATCAAATATCAAACAAATGTCCTACGACGAATACTATAACAACAATAACAATAGAATCAACAACTACAACATCAACAGCAATATTAGTAATAATAAATCAATTAGAAAAAATATTTACCTGATTCTGTTAATAATCTTTTTTTTTGTAATTTCTTCTTCTGCTTCACCATCACCACAACAACGATCGCAATTGATGATGAAGAACAGCAACCAAAAAAGATTTGTTGGTTATGGTGATGTCGGTGGAGCAATCTTAACATTGTTAACAAAAAGGTCAGCACCTGCTAATAGAAGAATTAAGTTATTAAAAAAGAGACAAGGTGGGGATGATGATTATGATTATGATGATTATGATGATTATGATACGGATTATGATTCAGATTATGATTACGATGAAGATTATTTTGATTCTTAATATTAATATATATGTTGTATATCTTGTAATAATCGAAAATCAATAAATATTGCAACTATTAAATTTTAAATTTTAAATTCTTGATCGTGAAATGATTCTATGGCATTGTGTACCATATATATATTATATATATTTGTATATTTATTTCTCTCAAGTTAACAAGTCAATAATAAACGTCGTCTCTATTTGCTTAATTAATTAATTTGTCCCTTTCACTATTTTTTTTTTTTGATTAAAACGAACACTTTTTGAAGGATAGTAAATACCAGAATCAATCAACATATTAGTTGAGCTGGGAGAACCAAGCTTTATTATTATACATTTCAACTTGAAGTCAAGCAGTGAATGGTGTAGCAAGTTACATGCAAAGGTTTTATAATTAATTGTATTTGGAGCCACTTCAAATCGATCTTGTTGGAGAAAGAATTTGTAAAAAACACGATATTTTGTTGATCCTTACTATTGTTAAAAAAAATTTATTTTTGATGTAACTTCAAAATTTCAAACTTTTTTATAAAAAAAATCAAGTTTATCAAAAATTTTATTTTATTTTATTTGATCAATCTTTATATAATATGAAATTAGTAAGGTTAGTTAACCATAATGATGGTGATAATAATAATGATGATAATGATGACGATGATAATTTCTTTTTTTACCTTAGATTTTTAATGAAATTAAATAATGAGACTGTTACCATAGAACTCAAGAATGGTACTATAGTACATGGAACTATTACAGGTAATATTAATTAATAAAGTATCGTTATTGTTTGATATTTATACTTCCATATATATATATATATTCACATTTATTTATGTGAATTAGGTGTAGATATGAGTATGAATATACACCTTAAAACTGTTAAAATGACAGTAAAAAATAAAGATCCGGTTAATTTAGACTCTTTAAGTATTAGAGGCAACACTATTAGATATTTCATTTTACCTGATTCTCTTCCGTTAGATACATTGCTGGTTGATGATGCTCCAAAAGCTAAAGCCAAAAAGAAAGAGGGTAATTTACTTAAATTTTCTGTTTTTTTTTTTTTGTTAATGACATTTAATTGACATAATTATCAAAGAGGTGGTGGCGGTGGCGGCGGTTATAATGGAGGAGGAAGAAGATATGATAATTACAATAATTATCAAAGAGGAGGTGGTCATCCTCCAAAATACTGTGAGTTTACGAATCGTAATAATAATAAATATTTAATTTTCATAATTACTTATTATTCATTTTCTATATTATTTTATTAGAGATACTCACTTGAAAGAAGCAGACGAAAACTAATACGCTGTTAATTGCGATCCGTCTATATAAAAATTTCCAAAATGCAAAGAATCATCCATCAATAAGATTAGCAGGAACACTTCTTCAATTTAACATACAATCAAACGTTAAACGAGATTAACATTGTGTTTAAGAATTTTTTTTTTTTATAATTATTTACTAATTAATAATAAAATGAATATCTATCAAAAAGTAATTAGCAAAATATGTAACCTGAAAAAATTTCATGTAAAACAATAAAAAAAAACCTATAATAATAATTTTATAAATGAACACATTTTGAAAATATTTATTATAGAGAGGAACTAGAGACTTGATTGGGTTTTCAAAACATTATTATAGTTCAGAATTATACTTTTTGTCTTTTATGTTTTACTTGAGAATTATTACTATTAATACCTTTTTTTAGACCTTTTATTAGCGTTATTCCTACTTCCTTGCACCTGCCATTCATTATTACCTGTTACATTTCTTTCGTTACTCTTCAATATTCTTTTTTCAGCTGATTCTTTACATGAATTTTCTGAATACCTTTAATTTCTGCGCCATCTGCTATTTTCTTCAACTACTCTGGCTTTTTTTTTGGTTTTTTATCAATTAAAGAAAGCAAATATTATTTGTAATTTTAAACTTGGTTTTATTTTTTTGATCTGATAAATATCACCCAAAATTAGAAATAACCTTTAATTATAGCATCACACATACCTTTATCCCCTATGTTTGTAGAGATAAAGCTTCGTTCAGCCTGGGTGGGTGTATATCCCCTTATCGATCTTTGGGTATTGGTCGGATAATTCACCCAAGACCTTGATCAGGGATACCTCCATTATAATGTTTGAAATAATTCATACTCTCTAATAAAACCCATTAAATAAAATTGATCTAAAAATTGATAATGAATCTTGTATTTATAGAAAGATAAAATCGTTTTTTATTTTAGGAATCTTCCAGTAAAATGCACCAAAAAGTACGGAATTCGTATGGATAGATACAGGATAGATACAGAATGCATACGAAACACACACGAAATGCACACGGGATTTATGGGAAACATGATAATACGCATTTTCCCATACTAATAGTAGTATGAATTAAGTGAATATGAAATACGTACTAGTATGGAAAAAACGAATTCTGTATCAGTATGTTTTCCGTGTATTCTGTATTAGTATGTTATTTTCTATAGAGAATAAGAGCGAATACCATGGAACAGGCTGACCAGATCCCTCTTCCAAACAATACGAGATCGTAATAAACTAAACAGATTCGTAAGAGATGCAATTGATGAAATATGGTTACCCAAAAATGATAGATAGATATTTAGAAAACGGTGATGAAGAGAATGCTGGCAATATTTACAACTAATGTCGATGGTGATTTATTAGAAATCCTCCGCCATGCAAAAAGAATCAGGGTTATATAAAAATTGTTTGTTTAAATGAGCAAAAATAATCTTATATATATTCCATCCGTAAAACAAGATGATGTATTCTCTCGCCCATGCGTTGCTGACCTTTAGAACTCCACTAGCGTGTATTATATATAAAACAATATACACTACTGATGATTCGATAGAAATTATGTCAATCATCTCGCAATCGTCAAATATGTCATTATAATATTATAATCGTAAACTTCAACAGTATCGACCATTACCTCAACACCAAAATCACCAGAAAATTAGTGAAAAAAGGAGATCGGTTAAATCCTCAAAACGTCAACATAAAATCACAATTATTATTTTTTCAAGCACAAGATTAAAAAATAACAAACACACTCCGCTGCTTTAGTAGGTTCAAAGAACACTATACTTTCCTAATAAAAAATAAAGTCAATCCACCAAGAAGTATTGGTGATAAAACATATATTATATGGTAAAAAGAAATTTTATTAAAACCTTTTCTCTAGTTAAAAACATCATCATAGCAAACGATTGAATAGTGTAAATTATGACGGTAAATTAATTGAAATATTTTGGTTATATATCGCATTCATCAGCAAATTTTACAATAAAAATTTTAGTTATAAAAATTATAAATTTGTAAATTTGTAAAAAAATTACTATTACATTTATAAAAAGCATTTTTCTATAACTTTGAATGCATTTATTATTTATATTTTTGTTATTATTAGTGTAATTATAACAACGAATTCATAAATATATATGAAGAAAACATTAATAATATAAAATAATTATTATGTACAGTATATGAAGCAATTATATTATATGTACATTATTGATCACTCTGCATTAGAAGATGATGTTGGATCATATCCCTGATAAATATAATAATAATATCAAAGATTTTATAATGTTATAACCCTCCAAAAAAAGCAAAGTGTTTGCAAAGGTGATTGTAACAGCATCTATATTTTATAAAAATAAAAATTTAAATAAATGAAATAATACATATAAGAAAACCTCGCATTCTATCAAGAATACATGTTTGATCAATCTTAACACCTTCATGTTCAGAACTTAGAATACAATGGCAAACAGCTCTAGTAAAGGCCATTTGCCTATTGGTCACATTCGATCTTTTTCACACAAGTAGATTAATAATTTCAATGTTTGAGTGGCCTTCATCATCATTAGGATTAAGGCTTTCAAACATTCCTTAACATCTTCTGATTCCTTCCAATTATTTATTACAGATATTAGAGTGAATGTGTCAACTTTCTCTATGTTTGTAAAACCTTATAAATTGATTCTTTAATTCTAGAACACATAGAACCACGAACCTTACTTGGTCTGTTGACTGTTAAAAATTAAATTAATGACTAGTTATAATCATAAAATAATTGATTACAAAAAAAAATTCAACAATACAAAAGCTTTTAAATCTTTTCTCCAAATAAGAGGAAATTAATGAATAATAAATATAAACATCTCTTTCACACCGCTTCAAAAAGATAAATACTTACTTGATCCGATTTTCTTTTAGAATATAATACACACAATTCATCATATAATTTATGATTATTACTAAAACATAATATTTCCGACCCTAAAGCATTCCTCCCCAATTCATCTTCACTCAATTGAGAATAGGCTGATTCGGCTGCTTTTAATAACCTGGATTCATCAATAAATGGAAGCAATGCAACTCCTACAATATTCATAAAATAAATTATAAAAATATGATTTATATATAATAAAAAAACATAAAATTTATTACCTTGCCAAGTATATCGTTTCCCATTAAGATCTATTTCAAAATCTGACGGATAGAAATCAATAATCTCACTATCTAAATCTGTCATAAGTTGTTGTATAGGTAACGGTAAATGTTGTTTACTATATATATATATTTAATGGTTAGTTGGATTTATTATAACTTTTCACACGCGCACAATGTCAAATATCAAAAATATCATTAAATTAATTACCTTTCAGCAGGTAAAACACCCATCAATTGTTCAAATGGTTTAAATGGTTCACCCAATTCAAAATTAATATCCAAATCGCCTATATCAACAAAATCAGATGCAAAAGGCGAATAATGATACGGATAATACCATTTCCACGATGGAACACCTTGAAAATAATATTTCAAAACCCAACATAATCCTTCAACATAACTCTTTACAACGCTAATTATTATTGTATTTCGTTTAAATGTAATAAATATATATGATTGATTAGTAGTTGATTTTTTCTTTTTTTAAAACTGATCATTTTAATTAATTGTAAGTTAGGCAAATAAGCATACTTTTTGCGAAATTCATCGGTTGGCTCGTCTGATATATCAACATCAAATTTTTCTTTATAATATCGTTTTTTGAAACCTGGTTCTCCAAGTCTAATGATAATATATTATAAAGTAAATAAAAATATATGTATAATATTCGTAAAACTAATCATATAATTATTACTTATTATTATTAATTACCTGATAGGATCAATAAATTCATGAGATTCTTCATTTGTGGCAGAATCAGCAATTTCTGAAGCTGAATTAGTAACAGCAGTAGCAGGTGTCGTTGTATCCTCTTGATACTCTACAATAGCAGCTTCTTCATTTACCACAACGATGTCTTTATCATTTTCTTCATCAAATTCTTCAGCTTTTCGTTTAACACCTTTAACAGAAGTCAACAAATCATCAATACTTTGTGCCGCCTGTTGATAATCCTCATTTCCTCTTCCTTCTCCTCCAGCTACTATTGTTGTTTCTTCTATTGTTTCTGTTGTTTCTACTATTGCTACTGTTGAAGTTGTTGTTGATGATGATGAATTCAATAGTTCAGATCTTAATGATTGTGCAGCATTACGATTAGCATAGCTTGTTATTGGATCGTGACTTATTTTTCGTTTTTTCGGAACATTATTATTATTTTGTTGATTTCGTCTCGATTCGTCTTTATCACAAATAATAATAATAATAAATAATGATAACAACAATTATAATATAATTTTATCTTTAGTGTTTATATTACTTACTTCTTTGCCTACGAATAAAAATATCATCTTCCATTTTTCCTAATTCTGTAACTAGATGTTGCATTCTTTTTAAATTAACCTATATTTTTAGGAAAATGTCGTGAAAATTTCATCAATGATCATCTCAAGTATAATAAAGATCTCATCTATATATCAAAAAAGAAACTACAAACATTTCCATTAGTAGTCATGTATCCGCCCATTATTGGCAAGCACCTTTTCCAAATGGTAATAAGTGTATCAATAGCACCTTCTCTAATTTCCAAAGAAGGCAAATGCGGAAGAAAATCATTTCCGACAAAGAAACACATAAATACCCAATCGTCTATTGAGTTTTCAAAATTGTAAGGCCAAGGTAATGGTCCAATGTTGAGTTCTATCTCAAGATATTCACGAAGAACCTGCACATCTAGAAATACGTAGGGCTTTAGTAGTACTTCTCTACCTTTTTCATCATGGTCTCCTACTTTTTGTTTGGCTTTTCCTATTATTATTATTAAGGTTTTTGAAAATATTTTGCATATAAATAAATAAATGCTTTTATAAAAATAATGTA